TGTGTCACTTCCCATTGGCTGACTCACTTTTTCACCTTTTACTGTCTGTGGAAGACTGAGCAGTGTCCTGTTTACTCATTTCTCAGGGTTTGCAAAGGACAAGGGTGTGTGTGTGTGTGTGTGTGTGTGTGTGTGTGTGTGTGTGTGTGTGTGTGTGTGTGTGTGTAGGGTGGGGGCTCCTGGCATGGAGGTTATGGCCAAGCTAGCCCACCTTTGCTCTTGGACAGTTGTGCCTCTCCCACATCCACCCCTCCCCCAGAAGCAGTTTGCTCTTCACATATCTGGCTTTACCTTGGACCAAACTTTCAATCTTACTTTCTCTTCTAAGAAAAACTAGTGTTCCAGGCTGAACTGAAGCAAAAGACTACTCCATATGGAGGTAGAAATGAGAGGAAACCATCTCAGACAACACATGGGCATAAGAGGCATTTGTTCCCTGGCACAAATGAGCTTTTAGCAGTCTGGATCTAGTCTGACTGTTAACTCTGCTAAGCACTAGGAGCTTCCTGCTTCCCCACCCCTGTTTATTCTGTCAATAAGACCAAATTTTAGAGTAATGCTTGGCTGTGTGCTTGGCAGCCTGTGTTTTTATCACAAGTGTGGAAATTGTACTTTGGCTTGGTTTCTACAGATGTCTAAACATGTCTGAGTCTCTGTTGCCTTAGCAACTAGCTGAACTTTGCTTGTGTATGTCAAAGGTTCTGGCAGGGGCTGGGTGGGAGCTTTTTAACTAAATTAGATGGCCAGTACCAAGCCCCAGTGGCACTCCCTGTGGCTGTCCCTAGAGTCCATTTTATTTTCTTGAGAAATCCCTGCTGAGCCACCCCAGCTCAGCAGAGTAGCATGGCATGGGATAGGGCTGACGCAGCCCTCCAGCACCTCCTAACTCAGGCTTTCCTCTTGGCTGAGGCTAGAGGCTTTGCTTTGCCCTGGGGTCAGGGCTTCTCCTGCTATTCTATAAAGTTGCTTGTGTTTCTTACACCTGGTCCTAAAGGCTGGGTCTGTCATGGAAACAGGGCCTCATAGAGGGCCAGAATGGTACATTTGAGTACCATACATTTTGAGGCAGTGAGTATGATGAGGTCATAGGAGTCTATGATAGATGTTCCTTTAAGAAGACCAAGGGAAGGGGATGGAGAGATGGCTCAGAGGTTAAGAGCACTGACTGCTTGCTCTTTCCAGAGGTCCTGAGTTCAATTCCCAGCAACCACATGGTGGCTCACAACCATCCATAAAGATATCTGGTGTCCTCTTCTGATGTGCAAACGTACATGGAGGCAGGATGTTATATTCATAATAAATAAATAAAATCTTTTTAAAAAATTAAAAAAAAGAAGACCAAGGGAAATGGTTGCTGTAATAAATATTATCCTTTGCTATCTTGTCCTGTTTTTGCATTTATTTTATTTGTTTGTGTATGTGTGGGTAAAGGTGTGCCAGGGCTCACATGTGGAGGTCACAGGATAGCCTGTAGGAGTTGGTTCTTGCTAGGGATCTAACTCAAATCAAGATTGACAGCAAGTACCTTTACCTACTGAGTCCACTTACATACATCTCTGTTATTTTATATTAATGTGGCTTTTATTTCCTTTTGAGTTTTTTCTTGCTCTTATAGGTGTAGATCGTTGCTTGATGGGAGCAGGAGCCGAGAGCTGTTTATCACCTTTCTTTAAGCTCATCCAGTCTGCCTTCCCTGAAGTACTTCTTTGTGTTCATTTCCAGAATTGCTAATTTGCACCTGAGCTGCAAATTAGAAATAGTTTAAAATAGCATGTGCTCTTATGAGTGTGGAGGGACTTCTAATAACCCTGCCTTCCAAAAGCTCACAGTGTGATTAGTTGCAGGGAGTACAAACTTAGCCTGCAGGGGACTGTAGGGATTCCGTCTTTGGCATGGAGTTGGCAAATTGCCAGTCTTGCCAGGACCTAAAAGGTTGCAAATCTTATTCCCACTTCCTTTGCACACTGCTGCTGTTGGGGGGAGGCAGTGTGGTCCTGATTGAGGGCCTTGGTTGCTCACTTTGAAGGAGGGCCATGTTTTCAAACAGTAATAGCTACCTCTGAGTTTGGGTCTTGACACAGCAGTGCTTTGGTGTATAGAATGTGAGGTGTCTCATTAGGATGCTCTGCTGCTAGGTTGCTCCAACTTCACCTTGACTCTTGACTGCTATTTGATGTGGGATCTATTTCTTTTTTCTTTTTTTCATTTTTTTTTTTTTTGGTTTTATGAGACAGGGTTTCTCTGTATGGGATCTATTTCTTTCTTTTTTTTTTTTTTTTTTGGTTTTTACGAGACAGGGTTTCTCTGTATTGTTTCGGAGGTTGTCGGTCCAGCCTGGCCTCGAACTCACAGAGATCCGCCTGCCTCTGCCTCCCGAGTGCTGGGATTAAAGGTGTGCACCACCACCGCCGGCGGGGATGTATTTCTTATTTGTATATTTGTATTTATGTGGACCTGTGTGAGTTTATGTGGATGACATTTGTGCAGGTGGCCAGGGAGGCCAGAAGAAGGCTGTGGGCCTCCTGGAACTGGAGTAAGAGGCAGTTGTGAGCTGCCTGATGTAAAGGCTGCAAACTAAGCCCAGGCTCTCTTCAAGAACAGTGGTGGTGGTGCATTCCTTTAATCCCAGCACTCAGGAGGCAGAGGCAGGAGGATCTCTGTGAGTTCAAGCCAGCCAGGTCTACAAAGGGAGTTCCAGGACAGCCAGGACTATTACATAGAGACCCTGTCTGGAAAAAAAAAATCCCAAAAGAACAGTAAGCTCTCTTAACAGCCAAGCCTCCTCTCCAGCCCCCACCTCCCTTTACAGTGGGGTGCTGATAGGCTTGTTGTATCGTTGGGTGAATGACTGCTGCACCACACTTCTTGTAGCACCCTGCCTGCTGGGTGGAGCACACAGGTGTATGGAAGTTTCCTGACTCTTGGAACCACGGTGTCTAGCTCAGTGCTGTAGTGATTCTTAGTGGTCCTGGCTCCCTGTGGCTAAGTGACTACCAAAGTTTTAGTCCCTCAGGGCTGTGCTCAGCAGCTACAGGTTGTGTCAGGTGGGTCCAACCCTCTGCTGTGGACTGTATGTCGCACACAGTGAAGATAACTGAATAATGTAGCCCTTCAGAGGCTGTGTGACCTGCGAGGAGTCCTCATAATTTCTGGGGCCCAGCTCCTCTGTCCAGTGAAGGATGAATCTGTGGGGGATGAAGTTGCTTCCTGGACCATGTGATGTACCTCCCAAGCTAGCTCTATTTTTGTTTAATTTAGTGCCCTTAAGGCTTCGAGAAATGTCATTAACCATACCACCTCACTGTCCAGCGACACTAGTCTGTGGGTACAGTGCCCAGGGCTGGTGCCCCACTGTTAATGCACCCCTCCCAGTTCCTGAAGTTGTAGACTGGGGAAATATATCTACCTGAGAGCTAAGATCAGACAGGGCTTCTGCCAACCTCAGGAGAGGGATTCAACCTCTCCTAAAACGTAGCAGTGTTCAAACTTCACATTCCCAGGTTGGATCATTAAAAGTCCCCCGTTTTCCCTGAGAGATCACCTTGGACTTGAGTAGTCCTCACGTTTCAGTTTCCTGAGTGTTGGGATTGTAGGGGGTGTACCATCACATTGATCCCGACCTGGTTTTCATTTCACTATGGTTACCACAGTCATTTTCAGTTTATATTTGCAGGGACTGATACGCCAGACCTCCCTGCTTCTCTCTGTGCATTTATGCTCATCCTCAGGACAGGTGAAGAAGCTGAGTGTAGGCAAAGTGCCAATATCTGGAAATGTGGTGCGAGCTTGAGATGTGAGTGCTATTGTGGAACTTGGAAGCCAGACCTGAGGACGAATCAGAACCCTCAGTAAGGGTGCCCTGTGTGTCTTTGTAATAAGGAATTGGCATATCAACGAGAGGGAATTTGTGAGACATGCTTCAGCCCTTTGTGTGGTGGACCTCACCACTTGATGCAGATATACCTGTTTGCTGTTTACAGATTTGGACAGTTTCTTTCTTGTTCTGAGTGCATTCCTTGCGGATGGTGTATTATTCCTTTCTTGGCTGCAGAGCTTTGGGTACTCACTGGCTTTTCTCCAGTGTTTTCTTGTTGTGACTGAGCATAGTGACTTTCTGAAAGCTGTTTTAAAAATCTCCTCTCCTCTGTGAAGGATGGAAGGAAAGAGCATTTGTGACCATGACTCAGCCCTTGATATAACAGTCATTCTGACTGGAAGTTTGCAAGCTGTTACCCTGCTGGCATCAGCAGCTGTGAGTTCTTTAAATATTTACATTTGATCACTGCTCAGCTCTTGTCTTCTGTAGGGAGGGAAGCAGTGTCCTACAATCCACGTGGTCATCTCTCATGCTTACCTTTCCAGGAGGGACTGTGGGTTAAAGATTGATGGGTTACCCAGGTGAGCTTTGCTCTGGGCCTTGCAAGGTGAGCTGTGTGTTTCTGCTCAGAGATCATGGTGTCCAGTGTGAGAAAATGGCAATGGAATCTTCAGTGTGTCTTAGAAGGGTTCTGTTTGAGGAGAAAATGGAAACCATTGTATTTTTGGATTCTTTATTTCTCTTCCCCTTCCTGCCCCTTCCCCTTCTCTTTCCTTCATTGAAAGCAAAGTGGGAGAACAGTGCAAAGAGGGGAGGTGGGCATCAGCCTGCACAGAGCTAGAGTACTGCTTGCCTCCCTTTAATTTGAAAATGCCCTTTTAACGTTGGTTTTTGTTGTTGTTGTTTGTTTTGTTGAGATTGGGTCTCACTTAGTTCAGGCTGGCTTGGAATTGTGTAGCTGAAGATGACCTTGAATTCCTGATCCCCTGCCTATAGCTCCCAAGTGCTGGGATTGCAGGTGTGTGGCACCATGCCTGGCTCGGAGATGGCTTTTGAAGAATGCTGTTATTGGATAGCATAAAAAGTTAGTGCTTTACCTTCTCACCCCAAATTTCAAACAACCTGAGTGGCAATAATGGACAGTCCTATGTTGCCTGTTTTTAAAGCGTATTGGTAAGCATACTGGTTGATATGGTAAGCGTACTGGTTGATACGTTTGACATGGGCATACACTGTTGCCATGTCCACAAACTAGCAACCTCTTCTTGTTTTGCAGCCCCTCCATTTATCACACCCCTTGTCTTCCCCAGGTAGGAAGCCATTACCATGTCTCCTGTCTTAAAATGCAAAAGCCTTAGGACTTGATGAAGTAGATGTTTGTAGGTTTGTGTGTCTGGGCTAAGTTTCATGTAAAATATTTGCTTAATTCAGGGTCACAAACATGTCTTGCTGGTCCTACAGGTCTGGGTTTTACAGTCGGGTCTGTGATCCATTTGAGCCACTTTTGTAAATAGTTGGAGGCATATGAGGACGGTCCCCTGTGGCTCCCCCATCTAGTTTTTCAGCACCATTTACTAAAATATTCCCCAAATTTTAAGGGGAAATTTTCTAATTGATCTGGGACTTGTGGTTCTGGGCACTTGAGTGTCTTCCTCCTGTTGGCTGCTTATCAGTGTCTGTGCTTCATGTAGCCTGGGTGTTTTTCTTTTGTGAGTAGATTCGACTCCTGATGGCAGGGGTCTTGTCATAGTGTAGCAAGTTGTAAAGGGGTAGGATGATGCTTGGCCAGATGTATGTGGGCTTTCTTCCTGCTCAGGGTTACAGAGCCCTGGACACAGAATCCTTATGGACATCTCAGTTGGTGGCTTCTGGGCAGAGGTGACTGTGGAGGCCTGCCAGGACAGAGAAGTGAGGGCACAATAAGTCTAGTGTGCCTGGGTACGTAGGGTGGCACCTAGGCTGTTTGGAGGCTACCGTATGTGGGAGAGGCCCAACAGTGGTGTGACCTGCCTGTTGGCTGAGGGAACGTGGCTCCTCCATGGTCTGACTAGTCTCTTCCAGTTAGATGTCTGTGAAGTTCTCGTGTTTGTTCTTGGTCACAGGCTCTGAGCAGTCTCTAGGCTGATCTGGTCTGTCTGACCCGTGCGGTGTGGTCCACTGGCCATGGTCTTGCCAGTGCCACCATCTGTGCTCTCTTCTGCTCTAAGCACTCTGCCAGCCTCATATGGCCCTGTGGGCAGACAGTAAGGAAACTGGAGCTTGGAGGAGTCCACATATCAGAAGCCTTTGGGCATGTGTTTGGCTGTTAAAGTTTAAAGAATTGATTGGTTTGCTATTCTTGAACTTCTCTTCAGAAGAGTGATTTCAAAGCAAGCCATCCTGGTCTTCATTGTCAAAGTGGGGAAGGGCCGGACTGTCTGGATTACAGTTCCTCATGGCTCCTGGTAGCCCTCACAGCGAAAGCCAAGCCTTGTAGAATGGCCTCTGCTTACCTCATTTCTTGCCACATCCCTGCATTTCTCCCTCCAGGTAAGAGGTGATTTCCTTCCTTCCTCCACTTACCTTTCACCCTTTGCCCATGCTGAGGAAGATGAGGGCCTGCAAGTTCTGTCTTTTTAAAATGCAACCCAGTTTTTAGTTCTGCAGTGGCATAAGCAGATGTTTATGGAATCACCAAATGCGTGTATGGGCACCGTGGGGACCCTTGGCTTGGGAACCATCTCACTGTATGAGAAGTGGTTGTCTGGATTGAGCTGTCTTCTTTGTCTTTATTTTTCTTTCTTCCTTCCACTTGCCTCTCCCCTTCTCTCTTTCCTGTTATTGAGACAGGGTCTTACTGTATTATAAGGTCTGACTCCTGGAACTCTCTCTATGTACCAAGCTGGCTTCACACTTGTGACAGTTCCTGAGTACTAGGGTTATAATTATGAGCCACTGTGCCCAGCTCCTTAGCTTTTTTTAGATCATGGATTTTAAGTTTATACATATTTTTTCTCACACCAATTAAAAAATTGGCATTCCTAACACAAACTGTCTATTTTGTGTGTATTTGTAAGTTCAGGAATTTGTGTGCTACAGTTTGCCTGTGGAGGTCAAAGGACAACTCTGTGGAGTTGATTCTCTCCTGCCACCTTGTGGGATGTGGGATTGAACTCATGTTGTCAAAGCTTCCGAACAGTGTGTCCACCAACTGAGCCATCTCACTGGTCAATATCTTTTTCTAAATGTGTCTACTGTTGAAAGTTTGATGGTAAGTTCAAAGACTAATTCGAATTTTTGTAGTATTTCTTTGGAACGTGGAGCCTGGGCCACAGTTGATTAGCATGGCTCAATACCGGTGTCTCTGGAGCTCACTGCTTCGTACTTTGGCTGGGAACGTTACACCTGCATGCTTGGCTGTCTGCATACTTGAGGCACACTCCTATAGGCTCTTGGGGTTCTGACCCTTGAACCAGATTATTTCAGTTCACTGTGTAGTATCTTCTTTTAGTTACTAGGAGATAGGAGTGAGCAATCTCATTTGACTGCCTGGTATTTGAGGGGAGGCTAAGGGCTTTAGGGGTGTAGAAGAGGAAGGGGAGGGACAAAGGGGGGTGGAGGGATGAAGAAGGTTGGGGTGCATGTACATGACTTCAAGTTTATTTCATTGTCAATTCTACCTCCAGCCATAAATAGTTGTAAAAAAGGAAAGAAAAACACCCTAGGGCTTTCTACTCTCCTCGCCCTCTCCCATGTTCTTTGAAAATGGGTATTTAAAGTACCATTCTTGGAGACTTAAGGTGTGACTACCACTGTCTGAACACAGTGGCAGGGGTGGGGGTAGTGTTTTTCCTAGAATGAAAAGTAGTCTATCCTGAGTAACTTGTGGTGAATGAGTAGCCAGTGAAGTCCCAGAGGAAAAAAGCAGCTGTGTTGAGGAGGTGGAGTTCTTCTATGGGACACTGAGCACCCTGTAGGCAGCCAGGAATGTTTGGGTTCTGATTCTCACTGTAGTTCTGCATGGTCAGTGTTGTTATTGTACACAGAAAATGCGGCCTCAGAGAGGTCATACGTACCTGGCCAGGGTTAGAGACACAGTTCAGCAGTTAAGAGCCTCACTGCTCTTCCAGAGGTCTCAAGCTTGGTTCCCAGCACCCACATTGGGCAGCTTATAACCACTTATAACTCCAGCAGCAGATCCAACACCCTCTGGCCTTTAGGGGCACCCTCACACATGTGGCAGAGAAGCATACGTGAACACATAAATGAAAATAAGTATTAATTTGCATGTCTAGTAAGTGAGAGTCAAGATTTGAACTTGGGTTACTCATCATGTTGTGTGCTGATTCAGGATTCCATCTCTCCCCATGCTTATGAATTAAGTATTGGGTGTTGTAGCCTTTGTGGGCCATAAGGGAGAGATGTGTTAGTCAGGGCCTTTGTGGAGGAAATTTAGCATCTATATTGTATATAGATGTGCATTTGTATTTATGAAACTCATGCAGTCTGTGTCTTAGTTGTCCAGGCTGTGGGAGTCTGAGAATTTCTAAACAGGAGAGTGGGGTGAGATCAGACCTGAGCCTCAGGAAGGTCTTCCCAGGGTGTGCAGCCAGGAATAGAGATGGGCTGCAGAGGCAGATGCCTGTGAGGGGGTTTCTGCCTATTCTGAGGGTCTCTCTGCACAGGTGCTTCTCTTTCCCTGGATTTACTTCACTGGATCCTCTCTTCCTTCAGGCCAGTGTGCCCCTCCTCAGGGCCTTGTCACTCCTTCCCTGATGTGGTCATCCTGCTCTCACTTGGGTTTTAGTGTTTCTTGAGTCTGTTTCCATGTCGCCTGTTCTCTGGAAAGTTCTTTGTAAGTCCATGGTTGTGAATGGGCAGCCCAGGTGTGAGCTGTGAGATCTTGTTCTATCAGTAAGCTGCAAGGAGTGGGAGCCAGGGGCATGGAATGAAAGGTCATTTTAATGTGTTTAATTTCATTTGACCAGATTAATGTTGCCTTTGACTCATACTTGTAGCTGTTTCAGTTGAGTGAACACTGCTTTCTCTGAACCGAACTGGGATGGTGGCCAGGGGGGGCCACTTTCAACAGCAGCATTGCTTTACTGAGCCTGGGTCCTTTTCCTCTTTTGTTGGGCAAACTCTTTTTGGCAGTCATCATTTCCCTCTTTCATAATCTCTAGGGTAGCTTCTGATCTTCCTTATCTAATGCTCACTCTTTCTTTAGTAATTCACAGAAAAGGGAAACCAGCTAGAGGTTGCTTGACTGAGACTTTTGGGCAAGGGATTGTTGACCTTGAAGGAAAGCTTCCAATTGGGGCAGATTGTGTGTGTGTGTGTGTGTGTGTGTGTGTGTGTGTGTAGGGGGATGGGAGAGTTGGGCCAGGTAGAAGTAGAAGGTGGAACAAGACCAAGGCTCTGGCAAGGTGACCTTGATGTTTCCTTTGCATTGTGCACTGATATGAGAGTGAAGCCAGGTAACCAGTGGCTCTAGAGCAATGGTTAGTCTTCTAGTCAGTAAGGGAGGGGGGGCAGTAGGGTGGGTCACTTCAGATGGATGGTGTGCTCAATGTGTGGAATCTGAGATGAGAATGTGTATGTGTGTGTTCTGCTCTATCATTCTCTGCCTTATTTCTTTGAGATAAGGTCTTTTACTGGAACGCAGTAGTTTTCTGCTAGAGTGTCTGGTCACCTAGCTCCAGCCATCTTCCTTTTGCCACCCCCTTCCCCGTCCACATAAGTGCTGGTGCTATGTGTACACTTAGCTTTTCCCTAGATGTCCACATAAGTGCTGGTACTATGTGTACACTTAGCTTTTCCCTAGATGCTAGGATCCCAGCTCAAGTTGTCGACTCCCAGCTGCATTATCTGTATATATTTTTATTTATATGTGGAAATTTACACTAACAAAACTGTCATAGGCTGAGGTTTAGGGACAACATGGCGATCTTGTTGTTCTGTGTGGTCTGTATGCTAAGGGGATTATGCTCACAGGAAGTTCCACGCCACATGGGCAGTGCCTGAAGTTAAATCTCTATACCACAAGTTTGTTAAGCAGATGCCTGAAGTCAGCGGTTCTCAACCTGTGGGTTGCTGTCAAAGGACCCTTTCACAGAGGTCATCTTAGACCATTGGAAAACACTTATTTGTATTATATTCATAACAGTAACAAAATTATGTTTATGAAGTAGCAACAAAAATAAAGTATATTATTGGGGGGTCACCACGACATGAGGAACTGTATTAAAGTGTCTCAGCATTAG